GAGAGAGAGAGAGAGAGAGAGAGAGAGAGAGAGAGAGAGAGATCTCAAAATAAACGATAAACCGAACTTTTTTTCATAGCATTACACTACTACACAAGTAAAACAAGAAGGCAGCCTCATCTTCTTGACACGAACATAGTCTACGCTTTTTCGGTGCATTTTTCCAGCTGTGACAGAAATGCCGAAACGGTTACTACTACGACATAAATTTAATAAAATAATTGCATTTAAATGGAAAATATAATAAAAAAAAATACTACAAATAAAAATCTTACCAAAGTTAACTAGTAGGGCAGTCTCGATTTAGAACTAAAGACGAGATATATACAAACCCTAGGCAGGTGGAAGTGCACGGCGGCAAGTTGGGCATTCCATTTTAATATCCATCCATCTTTGCAAACAACTGTTGTGAAAGAAATGCTCGCACGGTGTCACCTAATTTATATTATACACGCAAAATGGAGTCAAAATATGTATATAATAGTTCAAAGAAAAAAAATGTCGTAAAAAAATTATAATTAATTAATGGAAAAATTACCATGCAATCATTTGAACGCGGGCCGAGGTCAATCGGGGTCATGCAAATAACACAGTCTATCCCGTTATTTGACCCCTGATGGAATCTTCTGTAGTAACTGTATTTATCCGGTAAAACCTGCATATATATATACATATTATATAGTGTTAGAAAAGGACTTGAATGTAATTATTAAAAGTGACAATCATAAACAAGCCTGCAGTAATAAATAAACATTTCCCCGAGGAAACGAATACCCTCCGTTTCATATTAAGTGTCGTTTTAAGGTAAATTGCACATATATTAAGAAACCTAATAAATAGATTCTTTTTTATGGAAAAGCCCCAAATTGCCCTTCATATAAATATTAAATGAGCTTTTTAATATCTAAAAATTAATGAGCTTAAGGGCAAAATTGGAAAAAAAAAAGTTGCCTGCAATTCTAAAGTGACTCTTAATATGAAACGGAGGGAGTACTGATTAATACTCATAAGTCATGGAATCACGGAATCATACGTAATTGTGGTTTAAGGCATAAAAAAATTAATAAAAATTTCAAAAAAATTTTAAAAAATTTAATTTTTTTTAAAAAGAAATAAAATTGAAGGACTTTGCAAAAGAAAGCAAAAATATTGAAATTAGGAGAGATTGAAAAAAACCTGACGGGGAATGAAGCAACGAGACCCAAAATAGTGTTGGAGAATAAGAATAAGTGCTTGTAGTCCCATAAAAATAGCCAAACAAATGCACCAATTTCTATCGGCCTCGATTCGCATGAAATTATGAGGACAGCCAAAAATATACAACGGAATAGCAATACGAGTGATTGTCATTCCGAGTATGAAATGAACATGCAACGGCTTCCTCGAATCACGCACAACATTAAGCACTATTTGCGGAATCCAAAAAGAGTGAAGAACTAGAAGAATAAACCGCAAGAACTTGTGGAACTCGTACATGACCAAAACACCCCCCAAAAGTACCCCATCTGCAAAAATAATCCGACCCCTTCATCAGTTACTTCAAGTCTCAAGATAAAAAATTAAAAAAAATTGTCTTTTTTGTACAATAATTCCAAATCAGTAAAGGGTAAATTAAAAAAAAAAAAAAAAAAAAAAAAAAACCCATTCTTTTTCCGTAAAATATATCCAACCCCGGTAATTAACGATTGCAAAAAAAAAACCCTAACGAGGGGTTTTTTGGTAATTACACGCTACTTCAGGGGGTGGTTGTAATTTACCCTATATATATATATATATATATATATAGAGAGAGAGAGAGAGAGAGAGAGAGAGAGAGAGAGAGAGAGAGAGAGAGAGAGAGAGACTTACAGAAACGACTGTAAAGAGCTGAAAGCTCGCGCCTCATTTGTTCCCAACTCTCTCCATTTGGAGGTCGATTCGCCTTCCATATTGCAAGAAGGTACCGCATTTCGAAAATCGAGAACACCACAAATTTGAAAAACGCAGCGGTTGCAAAAGCATTAAACAGGGATTCTGTAATAAACGAGCATTGGATTTTTTAGTTGATATAAAAAAAATTAATAATAATCACATGCATAAAAAACCGACTGTTAAAAAAAAACATTTACCGACTAGAATTCCAGCGGTGAGATGCAGAAGACAAATATAAGTGTCGATTATAGCCTGGTGTCCAACCATTAGAAGCGAAACTTTAGCAGTTCCCTGATAAAAATAATTCGTAAAATTAGTGAATTATTATTATATACGAATAAAATTGCAAATTAAATAAAGAAATTAATCGTCAAATATCAAAGCACGAGATCTTACAGACTGGGTGTTACTGTACTCCATTTGCCTGATCAACATTAGAACTTCGAGGAAAGAGATCTACCGCACGATAAAAGTTAAGGAATACTTATTCCTAAGAGGTAATTATTTATTTACGGAATATATAAAGAAAAATAGAAATAAAATTAAAAATTAAAAGGATACAAAGGTGACCATCAAAGTGTAGTTAATTGCTTTATTGTAGTAAATATCAGTGTTGATCGAAGTTGCGTTTACAAGCACGGGTGAGAAGCAATCTACATCGTCGTCGACTGACGGGCTTTCCATTAGTCCTTCTAGGTAATACTTTTCTTGATCTCCGTCTACGAAAAAAAAAATTACGAGTTACAAGAATTCGAAACAGATGATTTTATCGAGGATAAAAAAAAAGAAAAAAACAAATTAGAGATATATAGTACCATTTTTTCTGGGAGGAAGGCGAGAAACCTGTGCGGCAATTTCAATGTTACAACGTTTCTCCATTTCGTAAATGGGAGCTGAAAATAGAATAAAATGAAGATCGGACTTTAGAAAACGAGTTCAACGAGCTACAACTAATATTGGATTAAAAAACTATAAAAAATAAAATAAAATTATGCGAAAAAAATTAATGTTGAGAAAGTACAATGTTTTCTGTTCCAGATTTTTTCTCGAGGCGATTCTTGAAACACCTGGGACGAGAAAACTCCGAGCTGTACCGAAAAATAAAAAAGTCAAACAAGATACAGTTGACTTTCACTTGAGAAAGTAATTAACGGCGATTACCAAGTGATACGGATTAGTCAGTAAGTAATCATCTTCCTGCCCATAGTCACCCTCTTTTCCACTGCACAAATATCGAAGCATTAATAAGCAGATCAGTTTATAAAGAGCTATTTTTGTAAATATTTTTATTTTGAATATTCATAATCCGAGATATTTACGTAAATTAGAATCAGAAAGTGAAATTAAAAAACTAACCTGTTAGCTACCATTCTTAGCTGTCTGAAAGGCCATACGTACACACCCTCCAGCCTTACTTGAGCACCGCGTATATCACGCTCGTTATCGAACACGTCGTGAAATATTATCACCCCCTAGTAAGGTGAAAAATTAACAATTAGTAAATGTGACGATTAATAAAAATACGAATTTTTCGAAAAGTAAATTAAATTAAATAAAATCAAGAATCTTGATTTGTCGAGTCAGAATAATTCACCGTACCTGAATATAGTGCACACCGGTTATTTTTGTCGGAGTACTGATCAACTCAAGTACGGAATTCCCGTTTGAGTTTCTAAAATCGGGAAACTTAGAAGTGCCGTTTGAAGATTCTAGAAACTTCCAATTCCCTGCACGCGACGAGTTCAAGAATTTGCAAAAAACAAAATATTAAATGACAGAAACGCAATTTGTATATTTGCGCTCGTATACTCGATCAGAATTTTCCAGAAATAATTTTTAGTAACACCACAGATTACGGTTTTTTTTTTGTTAAACAATGACAGAAAGCCGAAGAGAATGTGACGCTTAAAGTAAAACTATACATCACAAATGAATAATCGTAAAATAATTTTATAAATAGCTGACTCACAAACCTCGATACGTCCCTGTTATATTCCAAGAAGAAAACGGACCCACTTCGTTCTCTTCTTTGCCTAATGGAAGCCACTGCAACAAGTAAAAAGGCCAATCGATTAGAACTAACCAAAAAAAAAATGTTCGAGAAACGAGAATTAACCAAAAGTTCATTAGTGAATATTAGTTTCCATTTAATGCAATTTGCATGTCCGGAGTCTACGTTAGCATGCCGTGACATGGCATCGTCATTTCACGTACATCGTCAAGAAAGAATATAATAATTAAAGATTGTACACTGTTCGGACCTAATAATAAATACCTCTAGAATATGATTGGATCAAGAAAGACGATGTGTAAAATAGTGATTTTTTTTAGGTAAGATAGTTATTTGTTCGGTTGACGATAAAATGCGAGTAATTTGGTTTTTCGTCTTTCGAACCTACCATTTTATCCCTAATAAAAAAACGAGAAACGAGACAATTTTATCTTCCATTTTCACACATTGTGTTACGTAATCGAATCATAGCCTCAAAATTTAACGGCATTTACATACAACCATACAGATCCCGACAAAAATATAACCCAATGGGGAGCTAGATTCCATATTTTCCGTAAAAATAAACAGTCGTGCGAAAAATATCGGATCATCAACTATTGGTCAGTACAATTGCCGACAATAAATTTTTAATACCTTAAAGATTGCACCTTTGTTTCAAATCAAGAAACATGATCCAAAATTGCAAATCATAAACGTCACTATTTCGGCCTACAAAATTCAACGGCATTTACATGCAACCGTACAGATCCCGACAAAAATACAACCCAATAGGGAATTAGATTCCATATTTTCCGCACCGTCAAACGGTCGAGCAAATAAAGATCAGATCATCAACCATTGGTTGATACAATGGCGACAACAATTTTTCTATTATCATTAAAATTGAAAACTTTGTTTCAAAATCTAGAAACATGATCCAAATTTGGAGCTCGAAAACATCACTATTTCGCCGAAAAAAAAATAAAAATATTGTCAGCTTTTTACACTTCAACACAAAATCCAACAAAAATTGCACCTTAATTACGAAATCAAGAAACACAAATACGGTCCAAAATTGCAACTCGCAAACGTCACTATTTCGCCGCAAAAAAAAAATCGAATTTATCGGCTTTTTACACTTCAACACAAAATCCAACAAAATTTGCCCCTTTGTTTCAAAATCAAGAAACACGATCCAAAATCGCAACTGATAAAGCATCACCATTTCGCCTAAAAAAAAATCGAATTTGTCGGCTTTTTACACTTAACACAAAATCCAACAAAAAATGCTCCTTTATTTAAAAATCAAGAAACACAATCCAAAATTGCAAGTCATAAACGTCACCATTTCGCCGCAAAAATCGAATTTGTCGGCGTTTTACACTTCAACACAAAATCCATCAAAAATCGCACCTTTATTTTAAAATCAAGAAACATGATCTAAAATCGCAACTCACAAACGTCACCATTTCACCCCAAAAATAAATCAAATTTGTCGGCATTTTACACTTCATCACAAAATCCAACATAAAATTGCACCTTTATTTCAAAATCAAGAAACACAATCCAAAATTGCCTACAAAAAAAATCGAATTTTGTCGCCTTTTTACACTTCAACATAAAATTGCACCTTTATTTCAAAATCAAGAAACACGATCCAAAATTACCCCCCAAAAAAAACTCGAATTTTGTAGCCTTTTTACACTTCAACACAAAATCCAACAAAAAATTTGCCCCTTCATTTCAAAATCAAGAAACACAATCCAAAACCTCAACTCATAAATGATACCATTTCGGCCAAAAAACAAAAATCAAATTTGTCGGCCTTTTACACTTTAAACACATAACCCATCGAAATCAACAATGCATTAAGCAAATAAAAACTATTCATCGGAGTTACAACACCACAATTACAGTCAAATTAGCAACCAACAAATCACACCACAACAATTGAAAAAAATTACAGCATTCACACAAACTCCAATACAATTCCTTTCACAAAATAAACAATTCCAAAAAAAAATAAAAAAATAAAAACACAAACCTCTTCACCCCAAGAACGCGGCCTCTGCCTCAAAGGCCTCACACCACCAACAGGCCACGTCACTACAAAAATCAGCCACAACCCAAACAGAATATTCCAATTTTTCATCGGACCCATTTCCAAGCTGAACTCAATTTCTTGAACAAAGAAACCTTAAAAAAAAAAAAATCGGAATATGTGTTTTTTTCAGACAAAGGGATTTTTCTTCAGAGAATTGTGGATTAAAGAAGAGGCAACAAACCCATGTTTTAACAAACAACTCAAAGCAGAAAAGGATAAAACCCACCGATCAAATAAAAACACTGAAAACGAGAGCCTAACAAACCCAAAGAATCTAAACTATAAATTGGTACACAACAAAAATTAAAAAGAAAGATTGTTTCTTTTTGAGGGTTACACGCAGGATGGCCTTCACTCTTTTTTTTCTGAATTTAAGGAAATTTTTGCAAACTTTTTGACAAATGCTGTTTTGTATTTTTGTATCGAGAGTTTTCTTTTTCTTGTTGGGTTTTTTTTTTTTTTATAAAGAAAAGAATAGAAAATTGAAGTCAAGACTATAAATGTAGAGACTATTCGGTGTTCTTGAAAAAAAAAAAAAAAAAAAAAAGAAAGAAGTTTGGGGGTAGAAAATGAATGAATGTATGATGAGTTATTTATAGTGTCAAATATTGAGATAGAATTTATTTGACTTTGATTATTTAATCATGGAAGGTAAACAAGTTTTACATGGACATGTGATGGACTAGAGATAGTTTGTGTGTGTGTATGTGTGTGTGAGGGTATCTTCTTGTGCTAATGAATTTCGTGTTTGGATTTTAGTTGCGGTGGAAATCTGACGGAATGGATCGAAAATGGTTTTTTTTCGGAAAATATTCAAAAGAAAATTGATGTAAAAAATGGGTTCCAATTTCTCTTCCAAAAGTATTAATGCAAAAATTCATTCGAATTTTGGAATGCATCGAAATCAGTGGAATTTTGAAAATTACATTAGTTAATAATTTATTGTTCCAAATTCGGATATAATAGAAATTTTCACAATATTTTTCTTTCTTTTTTTTTGGAAATTTTGCAAGAAAATCTAAAAGAGGGTTCGACAAAATGCAATAAATAAAAATACATGAAGGAATAACAACAAATTGAAATATAGAATTTCTCCTATAAGGGAAAATGCAATATATAGTTTGTGTTACCAATTAA